CCTTAAATATTAGAAATTGGTGAGAAATCAAAATTTGAAATTATCCTTGGACTGAAATAGAAGATAAAGGTTGTTGAGCTCCAACACCATCTATTTCACAAGAAGCTGAGCCGATTGCAGATCCCTCATTGTGAAGATGCTCTAAGAATTCCATGACAACAGAATCAGTCCATGGAGCTCCAAAGGGTGCTTCTTCCCCAGCAACCCATCCAAGATGACCGCCTTTCGGTGTGACGATTAGCATGCAATTAGAGTTTTGCTATGAAAGAAACAGAGGGTTCATCTCAAAATCCATCAGCACAAAGTACAAGAGAAAAATGTCAAAATAGTCTTCTGACTCTTTGTAGGGGTCCATTTTAATCTCAGAATTTATAGAAGCGTCAAACTGATAAAATAGTTCTCCCCAAAGTCTAGTTTAGCCCATACTAAAATAATCTAGAACTAATTTGTCACTTTTATATACTCTGAGACTGAAATGACAATGTAAATAATCAGAGCGACTAAATTGACAGTTTACTCCAAAGTATTAATTTGATCAAAAGCATATTCACAAAAGCATATCAAATAGAAAATTGATAGTTTTGAATAAGTAAACTAGTAACTTAGTGGTGTATTGAAAAATAAGAGTAAATGTTTAATAAGATTTAGAAGATACTTTAATTATTTTCCTTTCAGCAGGTAGAACTTTTTTCCCAAATAATATAGATAGAATGTTGTTATTAATATGCCTTATAAAATCAATTTGTCATTATATAGTTATAATTTCAATTTATTTGAAACTGTCTTAAGGCAGAATAAGCGAAAATTACAAACAATAGATACAAATTGATTGTTAAGATGTGAATCTTGGGTTTTTGGGACAAGTCTCACGGGGAGAAATTACATCCTCAACCACTATTATGTCGTGGGTATCTGTGCAAAATAATCTATAATTCCGAAATAAAAAATTAACTATATAGCAAAACTGGAATGCCGTTGACTGTTGTCCACGATTTGCAAAAGATGAAAAGTTTTATGTAAAGTTGTCCACAAATTGTCAGGTTACTACAGATGGAAAGGCTCTGTTCTGGATTCAGAAATAATTCAATACTCTCCATCAAGTTGGCTTGTATATGGTAATTATGCCTACCTTGTTGATTAGATAATCAAACAAATTACAGATAAAACCTTGATGAGAATATCTAAATTTTGAGTTGGCATATAATTCAATTGAGCTAATATGCTTTCGCACCATTATGACAATGCTGGGCATTTTCCGAAGACAAATCTAGCTTGTTATGGTGCTTGCATCACTATCATTAACTAAGGACTTCCATGGATATTTAAGATTAGGAAGATTTACATAGATACCACTCAATTCTTATGTATTTACATGCGTTAGATTTGGGTGCTATAAATATAAATGGCAAAGTTTAAGAGTTCGATATGTAAATACATAAGAAATGGATGGTTTGTATGTAAATGCCCCTTTAGATTATTGATACCATTTAATAAGCAAAAGAATTATTCAGACTATGCCCAAGAAAAAAATCTAATTAAAAGCAAACATGAAATTTTGGAACAAAAACGATTGTTAACTCACCTTAATTTCTTCGCGAGGAATACACCTTGAAGGAGCAATCGGATCATTAGCAGCCTGCAACTTTAAAAGCAGGATTAGAGCCAAATAGGCTGAAAAAAACAGCAAAATTATGATGAATTATTATTAATACTGATGCATGAGTTTCAGCAAAACATGCTTCAGAAATAAACATCAGTCAGAAACTAAATATGATTACAATAAATATATGAAAGATTAGGAAACAACCTGTATGCATAACAATGGCGTGCGAACATGCACAATGGAATTAGAACTACTGGAGTTGAAATAATAATCATCCACCGACTTGAAGCCAAATGAAACTGCCAAGTGCCAGGCATTAGAATTTTATTTAAGAAAAGGGTATTTACAAAAATACAAATCAATTCTTATGTATTTGCATATCTAACAACTAAACTTTACTTTTAACAAGTAAACGTAGCCCAAATCTTTCTTATGACAGCAAAAATATCATTAATTTAACTTTTAAAAAGTGAAATACACCATTTTATGAATAGGTAAAGGTGGCATTCATGTAAAAATTGAAGTTTTGGTGTTAGATGATGGATATATAAATACATAGGAATTGAGAGGTATGTATGTAAAGTTAAGAAACGTAGCCCAACAGTAGATGCTACTTACCTCGTGTCAAACCTTCATCAAATTCCCTAACGGTCCTGGCATTAGCTGCCATTGGAATATTATATTCATCATTGAGTCCCACAAATAGAAGCTCATGCCTGATGAAATGATAACCAGAAAAGAAGTCGGATTTTTTTCTTCTGCTGAAAATCATCTAAAGGTACAACTTGAATATGCGAAATCAAAATTTACTTTTTGAAGATTTTTCGTAAAGATCTAGCAAGAGCTTTGTCGTAAATCTTGTTGAAGCCCTTACGGAAGTCCTCATCCGCAATTGGCAAATTGAAAGGATTACACAGAGAAACAGCTCCAGAAAGTGGACAACCATATGATTCCTGCAACAGAAAAATTTACAAATTTCATCACACTATTAGGAGCAACTGCAATCTTTTATCTGTTAAATTAAAAAAACTTAAGGACTGAGGTTCATAATTTCCTTTTCAGAATAGAAAATCATAGCATTGGTGAAAATGGCAATACTATTGCAAAGAGGAGATAAGAGTAGCAGAGTTCTGTAATTTGGTAATTGTCTAACATAGAAGAGCTTTCAGTATACAACAGCAAGCATTTATCACACGTGGGGTCGGCTACATGAATCCTACTTCTCTATTATGTCCTATTGAGTGTCAAATTTTCATTTAATGTTAATAAACTAAGATAATTTTTTATTCAACATGCCCAAATCTTATAAGGTTTACCTCTATCTTTCTTAACAGAAGTTGAATCTACAACATCTACTCTCCTGACCGGATCATCATATGGTTAACATTTGATATAAACAAACATATATCCATGAAACTGGCATATTTGTTCACAACCAGAATGCATCCAAATTTCAAATCCATGCAAATATGAATATAAAAACTGATTTAGATTCCTATTATAAATCGTTATCAATCACCTAATTTGTTTCGCAAGAAATTCATTCTGATTCTTATAATAAATCATTATCAATGACCTAATTTGTTTGGCAAGAAATGCCCCCACGAAAAAAAATTTGCACATAACAGGTTTATCTAACAGGTTTATCTAACATTTTTCTGGTATTAATCAATTCCTGATTGTTTTAACCAACATAAGTCTAAAATTTTGTATCCAGTTTCATATCCTTATTCATGTCGATCCAATTAAACTCCATCAGACTTTATGCATGTGTAGGCTCTGAAAATTCTATATGCCCCAGCCTCCCTCAAAAAGAAATAAGAAATAAGTAGAGAGAGAGTTTAATGTGAGGTTACCGGTCAAATTTTCACAAGGGGCATGAAACAGTAGATAGGCCACTACCCAAAAATTTCGCCCTCATTTTGTGAGGACATTAAGTCTGGGGTGGGCCGAGATTTCTAATAGGCGCAAGCTCTTATGGTTAATTCTCCCTTTTGATAATGAAAGAAGACTTTCCATTAAGACTAGTTTTTAGGCGCATGCATATAAGGTTTATTAATTAATTAATAGTTAACGTATCTGGATAAATTTTTTGATTTAACATTATGCTTCTAGGCTCTTTTATACAAAACTAAGGCAACATGAAAACAAAGAAACGAGAATAAATTTGTTAATTTTACAGGCATTCAAAAATATTTTCACGCTACTTGAAGATTTTGTTTGGAAAAAATTAAAAATAGTGATATCAAAATGGCATTCAATTTTTTTAGATAATCCTTCTACTTAAATGAATTCTTTATCATATAACGGATGATAATAGCTTAAACAGGGCTGCTACATGATTCCTTCCCTTGAAATCAAGCTTAGGTTGCTGACTTGAGTCTAATTTTTCTATCATAAATTTAGAGACGTTTTTTGTGACTATGAATACAAAGTTTTAAAGCAAGTTAAAAGATACTCTACTTAATTTCTAATATGATTCAGAATTGAAAATTTTAGGAAAAGTCCTCTATTTTCAATGGTGTCATCTTGTTCCTCAATTTGATTATCTCTCGCATGTCACTAATCTTGCTTTCTAATTTCTAGTAATTGATTTGCATGCATAAATGAATCTTATCAAATTTAATATAATCTAAAATTATAGATAGTGCATGATTTTCAATCAAATATATTATTTTTATACTTTCATATTATTATGTGATATTTGTAATAAAAAAATGATTAAGATTATCCATGCAGAATTTTTCAAATGTTCAGCTTTGATCTAAAGGAATAAATAGCAATCAAAATTAAAGATTTATTGACTGAATTTCAATGTGTGTGGGTGAATTTGTACATTTGATCATTGATCTATATTAGAAAACCCTAAGAAATCATACAAGATATTTTATCCCAGAGCTCAGGCTTGTCTCGGCATATTCATTAGGCATAAGTAACTAAATATTAGATTCAATCCAGATGCATAAGCAATAATTTTGATAAAAATGCAAAATTCAGTTTTGGCGGTATTAAAAACAGAATTAATTGTCATTAAACGTAACCATGCACAAAAGCCATGAAGTAAAAAAATAAATTGCATATATGTACCTGACCTAAGTACCGCACGAGAATGTTTGCTCCAAGAGACCAACCAACAGCATATACCTTACAATTGGGATAACATGTTGATACATGTTTAACCACTTCACAAAGATCTTCCGTGAATGATGCTGAATAAAACTGTACAAAATATCAGAATTATACTGGGGCTCATTACAAGAATCAACCACCAACTTAAATAAAGGGGTAAATTTTGTGATTTCAAATATACAAAATAACAGGGACAAAGTTTAAAAGAAGTCCGATACCCACAAGAAAAGGTGAGCTCTGCAGGTTTGGTTGGATGACAAATAACCATATGTGCAGCATTATTAGCTAAGTGGTAAGAAAATATATGGTTGAATCAATTTGAACTCTTCATGTTGTACAAAACAGTTAATCATTTATACCTTAAAAGTAGAAAGAAAAGGCTTTTTTTATAGTTTTTAAATTTTTTTAGAGTGCTTATATTAGCGCAGATTTAGTCCTATTAAAAAAATTATTTATTAAATATATAAATAAAAAGGAATAAAAAGATGTAAAACATTCGAAGAAATGATTGCTCGGATACCTGTGGAGTTGTGACTGGGCTATTCGCGCAACCGCGACTATTAAAAATGACAACTCGCCACCCTTTCTTCCTAGCTCGAATAAGCATATGTCTCACATACGTGTCTTGACTACCGCCAGTAAGACCTGGCTACATAACATTTTGCAAATCAAACCTTAAACAATGTGAAAAACCAGAGCTTCAAGAAAAAGGCTGAATTATGACTCAAGCAACTCAACTCTACATGAAATATGGATCTGCCGTGAAACAAAAAATTAACCTAGGCAAGCTTCATAAAAAATAGTTCATTTACATCCTATAATGAAAAGATCCGTCACAAACCACGATGAAACAAAGCTGATCTAAGTAAGCGAGCACTAAACAAGGTTTGTGCAAAGATTGATACATCCATAAGCAAAATTCCGAGGTAAAAATGTTATATTGGCGACATAAGACGTCTTAGAGTCTAAGAATGTTTATGTGAAAATAAAATGAGATCAAGAGTTACAAAAAAAAAAAAAAAGGACATCTAATGACAATTTCATTGGCCAAACATTTTATTTTAACAATTATTAAAATTTTCAAATGAAAATAAAAATTCAATAAGAATCAATGCAGATGAAATTTTTGCTAGTTCTCAACTAAAGCAAAGCTTAGAATTTAAAAACCGCAAAAGCATGCAAGTTGTTGAGAATCACGCCCTCCTAGAAATCTACATGTATCAACCTTCTAAAGTAATTCAAACAATAAGATATAGAGCAATAAAATAAAATAGAAGGAAAGAAGTCATTAAAATCAGAAGAATCAAACCACAAACTTGTACAAGGAGAAAACCTTTTGGAAAACTTTAAGCCTCACTAGATCAAGAATGACTCCTAAAAGTAGAAGGAATAACACATCCAACTAGAACAATATTCAAAACCATTGACTACATTATGTACGAGCCTAAAACTATTATTTATAACTACTAAAAAATTTTCAAATTCCTTATCCACCAATCACAACAAATAAAAAAAAAAACCAAATAAGTCGGTCCTTACAGTTATAAAGGTCTAACAACAGAAATACACTGTCATGACACCGAACGAAGCCCAAACCATAATCAGAAGATAAATATAATTACTAAATTTGAATAGGGTTACATCGACAACTCCTCAACATAAATAATACAAACATGCAAGCGGAAAGAACGATGACGATGCTGCAAAAAATATGAAATGAAAGCAACAAAAAAAGTGCAAGAGATGCTGGACGGCAGCGAGGAGGAACCAGGTGGTCAGAGCAGTGACTGGAAAAGGACTGGCGGCTGCTAGAAGGTGGCAGGAAAGGAGCTGCGGTGGCCTGGTCCAGCAGCAGGCAGGTGTTTGCGGGCTGGACGGCAGCAGGAACCGGTGTCCGAGGGCTGGACAGCAGCTGGAATAGGTACCGGCGGCTGGGCAGCAACAGGAACAGCCTGGAGGAGCTGGCGGCAAAAGGAGCTGTTCTGGAAGGGCCTTGATTGCAGCAGCACGCACCCAGAGACCTGGAGGGAGGCTGGGAGATGGTCGGCGGGTGTTGCGAGGAGGGGGCTGGTGTGATCTGCGGTTAGTTGGAGGCAGCAGAGCAGGTAAGCAGTGGAAAGGAAGGCACTGGAAGTTGATGGCAGCAAGGAGGATGGTTTGTGGCTGCTAGAAGCGGGGTCGGAGAGGCTGCGGAAGGATAAATGTTTCGTCGGGGTTGAGCTACAGCTGCAGCACCACCCAGGCCATTAGAGACGATCATCACCTCGGACAAATTACAGCCGAAGCGCCTTCTCATCGTCGGGTACAGCCCCCAGAGGAGAAGAAGGCCTCAAAAGCAACAGTAAAAAAGCAGCACTCATCCAAATTTGTCCTCCCCTTAGCAAGCAACATGTATGCACAAGAGGAGGTTAGTAGATAGATTAGGCAAGAAATAAAGGAGTGATGAGAAAATAAGAAATTTGAATTTAGGATGGAAGTGGAAGGTGATAGATAAGGCAGACAACGAATAGGAAAAAGACTTCATGGAAGAGACTGAAAAGGAGAGAGGAGATAGCTTAAAATGACAAAAAGGGGACACGGTTACTGTAATATTTACAGTATCGCGTCGGCGATACTGTAGCAGCTAGAGTATCGAGTCCATGATAAGCTCGCGCGACAATCTATCGGGGTTGAGGGAGCTTCGATTTTATTAGTCAAAACTTTTTTTTTTCTTTTTATTTAGGGAATAAAACTTTTGGTAGGGTGGCTTAGGTAGAGACGGATGTAAGGCAACCATAGGATAGAACTAGGATTGGGCTAGCTCTTACACCAAATAATATTACACGAACCCAAACCATAAAAGAAAGAAAATATAATCACTAAATTCGAATAGGGTTACAACGACGACTCCTCAACATAAACAATACAAACATGCAAATCGTAAGGACAACGACGATACTGTGAAAAATATGGAAAGAAAGCAACACAAAACGCATAAATGGCCTTCTAGAAAGAGAGCGACGGATTTGGGAGGGCAGGCATGGCAGCAGATCGGACAGCCACTGGAAGATGAATGTTTTGGGCTAGATAGCGGTTGGAGGGTGCTTGGGGTGGGCTGGACAGCAGTTAGAAGGTGCTAAAGACATTGGATGACAATGGAGAGGAACCTAGTGGTCGGGACGGTGGCTGGAAAAGGGTTGGAGGTTGTTAGAAGGCGGCAGGAAAGGAGTTACGGTGGCCTAGGACAGCAGCAGGCAGGTGGTCGTGGAATGGAAGGCAGTAGGAACTGGTGTTTGAGCTCATACAACAGCTGGAATAGGTGTCGACGATTGGGCAGTAGCAAGAGCTGGTCTATAAGTGCCTTTGCGGCAGCCAGAAAGCGCACGGAGGCCTAGACGACGGCTGGGAGATGGTTGGGGGCTGTTGCGAGGAGGAGGCTGGTGTGATTTACGATGAGCGAGAGGCAACAAGGCAGGCCTACAATGTAAAGGAAGGTGTTGGAAGTAGATGGCAACAAGGAGGATGGTTTGTGATTGTTGGAAGCAAATCCGGAGGTGTTATGAAAAACAACAACAATAAAGCGAAAAATGGAACGAGAAAAATTGCACACAGAAAAAAACCTGAGAGACACACAGACTTACGTGGTTCGACAAATTTGTCTACGTCCACGGAGCGTCCACGGAGCTGCAGAAACGGAGCTGCAGAAGATTTTATTTCTTTGAGGAATTACACTGTCGAGCGCCTCGACGTTTACAAGAAAATCTCTATTTTTTCCTCTTCATTCCTCTCTTTCTCTTCCTCTCTCTATCTCTTAGAAGACTTGGCAATTATGATAAGTCATAAGAGACTATTTATAGAAACTATGAGAGCAGTAGGTGGGAGGTAGGTGGGATGTAGGTGGGTGAGCGGTAGGTGGGATGAGGTAGGTGAGCGGTAGGTGAGAAGGTAGGTGAGCGGTAGGTGAGATTCTTAATTAGGAAGCTAATTAAATTGCGATAGACCGGGTTTCCACATTACCCAACAATTCTTCCACTTGGAGACTGGGACACTGACTGCATCACCTATTATCTACTAGTTGTACCAATTTTTTCCTCAAGCATGACATCATCTACCTCTGCAACTCAAAATCTTGTTATTCATACCAGAAGATCAACTGAAGTCGAGCACAACTTCAGTTTCTCAAGAGTAACTCCTTTAATCAACATATCATCAGAGTTTTTGCGTTCACAAATTTTCTTAAGTAGCAGTTGTCCGTCGTCTAATAAAGATCGAATGAAGTGATACCTGGCTTGAATGTGCTTGCATCTGGATTAAAAAGTTGGATTCCTGGCAAGAAATATGACGCTCTGACTATCACTGTTGAGAGTGCCCTTCTAAACCGTCTTACCCAATTCCTCCAAAAAACTCTGCAGTCATACCATCTCCTTAGTAGTCTCTGACACTGCAATGTACTTAGCTTCTGTAGTGGACAATGAAACCGTCTTCTGTAGATTTGAGTCTCATTACACTGCAGTACCGCCCAGAGTATAAACATAATATGTAGTACTCTTCCTACTGTCAATGTCTCCAGCTAAATTTGCATCAACATAGTCCTGTATCTCCAGGCTCTTTCCTGAGAAACACAAACAGGTTTCTGAAGATCCTCCTAGGTATCTCAAGATCCACTTCATAGCTTCCCAATGTTCCTTCCCTGGATTACTCATGTATCTGCTCATAACTCTCACTGCATGGGCAATGTCCAGTCTGGTGTAGACAATGGCATATATGAGTGAGCCAATAACTGAAGCATAAGGAACCTTATTCATGTAGTCTTGTTCCTTCTCTGTCTTGGGAGACTGATTTTTGTTAATTCTGAAGTGACTGCCCAAAGGTGTGTCAACTGGCTTGGCCTTGTCCATATTGAATCTGCTAAGCACCTTTTTCACATATTCAGTCTGTGAAAGTCTCAACGTGCCTATGACTTAGTCTATAAAAATCCTCATCCCAATGATTTGATTTGTCGCTCCCAAATCCCCGCTCCCAAATCCTTCATTGCAAAGTGGTTTGACATCTACTTCTTTAGATTATTGATCTCATCAATGCTAGCCCCTGCAATAAGCATATTATCCACATACAACAATAGGATGATATAGGAATCATCAAAATACCTGACATAACAACAGTGATTTGTCTGACATTTGTTGCACCTAGCATTTTGCATGAAATTATCAGATTTCTTGTATCATTGTCTGGGAGCTTGTTTTAGACCATACAAACTCTTCTTCAGTTTGCAAACTGAATCTTCATTTTCTGGTACCACGAATCCTTCAGGTTAGCGCATGTTTTGTCTTCTTTAAGGTCTCCATGAATAAATGTTGTCTTCACATCAAATTGCTCCAGAAAAAAGATCTTCGGTAGCAACCATAGCCACTACCATCATAATAGTTGTGAGCTTCACCACAGGAAAAAAAATCTCAAAACAATCAATGTCCTGCTTCTATTGAAAGTCTTTTACAAGTATGGTTTTGTACCGTTTACTGTCATCAAGCTCAGTCTTCACCCGGTACACCCACTTGTTGTGCAATGTTTTTTTCCCTAGTGGAATCTCTGTCAGCTCCCATGTCTGATTTCCCAGCAAGGAATCCATCTCCTCCCTCATGGTCAGCTCCCACTTGCTAGAATTTTCATCTG